TATTACAAATATTTCATTATGTTAAGAGAGAATTCATAATTAGATGTAAGAATTATGGACATCTTAATAAGTAAATTTAAAATCATTAATAAATTTATTAAATCATAACTTAATTGGGAGATAGATATGGGTCTTTGAGTTTTAGTAATTCAGATTAGATAAAAGATTTGAAATATGTTAAATATCATATTAGAATATAGTAGATTTATTGAATTAATTATTGGATTTGGTATTATATCAATTTAATTAGATAGTGTATGAATGAACTAGATGCATTTACAGTGAGGAAATTAATATTGATGACTTTCACATTTTATAGAATTGAAAAGACAGAGAAGATATTTTTGTATGATGGTATTTAACATCACTCTATTTTTGATAAAATTGATTTGTGGGATGCCATATTTTTTGAATGTTTATATGAAGAGATGAAAAAATAATAAGATATGAGAATTAATGAGAATATAAATGATTCTATAGATAGGTTTATATTTTGTATTTATTTTAGAGAGAAAAATACTGTTTTTGGATTCTTAGGTTCATTAATAGAAAATATGTTAAGTTTTAGTCCATCAAAATAAAATGTAAGAATTTTAACATCAAAATATTGTAAATTGTATATGCTAAATGATATTTAAATCAAATAGCTGCTCTAAATCATTGATAATTCTAAGTAATAATAAAATTTGAGTTGATTCTTTAATTATACATCTAATGAAAAAATTAAATAAAATATAAATTCAAATAATTAAATTATATGATAAGTTCATAAGAAAAATAAAGATTATTACAAGAAAAAAGACAAAAGATAGAAGCGTAATAATTATTAAAATTATTTAAGTATTAAATAACAGCAACTTTAATAATCTACATCGATTGCTCCTGTTACTTAACCTTAATAGTAGGTGATTTAACCTTAAGCAAATATTGAAAACAATTAATCTTTTCAATAAGACCAATCTACTTAAGGTTAAGCTGTCATTGCACCTCCATAATAGTCTGATTTAATAAGTTTATATTTACAGACAAAGCGAAAAAAATTAGGGTTTTAGACAATAGAAATGTATTCTAACAACCCTGCTCCTCCTTAGGCAGAAGTTATGACAATAGAATTTGGTGTACAATGTGAATTTGAAATACCTTAAAAAAAGCAGGAAAACGAAGATTAAGTAATTCCATTGATGGAGAATGTCAGAAGAGATTCCAGAAAGAAAAGAGAAGTATTATAAAGTGCTGAAAAACCAGTAGAAAAAGTAGAAAAGAATATATCAATGGAAGAAATAAATTCCATTATTCAATCTCAAACATTCTAGAGATTTTTTTCAAGAAGTTCAAAAACTATAGAAAAAGCTATTCATGGAGCAGGAGTAGATGTTTTAGAGGATTTAATGAACACTTAATCTGTAACTTAAGAAATAGGAAAGGACAATTTAACAAAATTGCTTTCATTTAGTGACAAATTATATACAGATAATAGAGTTGTAACATCAATATAATGGTCACCTAATTTACCAAATACATTTTTAGCTGCTTATTCCTAAAATGAAGAAGGATCAATAACTGATTAAGTAGGAGTAGTTCTTTTATGGTCATTACAATTAAAATCCAGACCTGAATTTTATTGTTTTGCAAGTAGTCCTATAACATCAGCCTGTTTTCATCCTTTTAGTCCTAATATAGTTTTAGGAGGATTATATAATGGTTAAGTAGTTGTGTGGGATTTAAGAGCAAAACATACACCTGAGAAGAGATCAACCTTAAATAGTGGTGGACATAGTTATCCTATTTATGGATTAAGTATTGTTGGATCATAAAATGCAAACAATATAATATCTGCATCAAATGATGGAAGAATTTGTATATGGAATTTAGCTTAATTTAATTAACCATAAAAAATAATTGATTTGAAAACTAAAAACAAATAATAAACAAGCAACCCTTAAGTAGAAGTTAATACAACATGTATGATGTTTCCTTAAGGAGATGCCAATAATTTCTATGTTGGTGCTGAAGATGGATGTGTTTACAAATCTAAATTACATCAAAATACAAATGAAAATATTGTCATTCCATTTGAAGAACATTTGGCTCCAGTTAGTGGAATTTCATTAAACTCATCACCATAAGCCACACCATTAATTTCTAATTTGCTTCTAAGTAGTTCTTTTGATTGGACTTGCAAATTATGGAATACAAGAACTTAATAAGAATCTAAATGTTTAGCAACTTTTGAATGTTCAGAAGATTATGTTTATGATGTTTAATGGAATGGATAACATCCTACATTATTTTCAACTGTTGATGGTGAAGGTTATGTTGATTTATGGGATTTGTCATATGACTTAGAAGCACCTATTACAAGATATAAATCTGGAAATAATTCTATCAATAAATCTTAATGGTCTAAAGATGGGACTAAAATAGCTATTGGAGATTCTTATGGAGAAATATAAATTTTGTAATTATCTTAAAAGGTTTTATTATTATTTTTTATTTATTTTAGGCCTAAAAAGTTGACCATGAGAGATTGGCAAAATTAGAGTAATGGATTAAAAGTGATAAATGAAATATTAGTAATTATATAATTATAATAAGTAATTATTATATATTATATAAAATGAAGAAAAGAAATTAGAAACTATGTATGTAAATCAAATAATAAATTAAGCTGATTTATGTGTCACATCAAAAATCCTATGTGCAAAATTTGGAACTTACACTAAGAAATTAATAGCAGCTGGAGATGAAAAGAATTGTGTTCAAATCTGGTAAATAGGAAATCAAAAACCTATTGCTGTATTTCAATAATACATTACTAGACTTTAAGTTCTTTAAATACTTCTAATGCTTAAGTTGAAGTTGCAAGTGTGAGTTTTAGTTTTTGTGAAACTGAACTATTTTCAGGATCCAATAGAGGAATCATCAATATTTGGGATGTTGAAAATCAAAAATGTAAATTATATTCGATGTATCTCTCATAGAAATTTAAACACTCAAAGGTCATACTACTTGTGCAAATTCTCTTTGTATATATCCAACTGAAGATAATAAGAATCTTCTTTTTAGTGGTGCTTATGATACTTCAATTAAATTGTGGGATTTGAGGTCAAAAACTGTAGTCAATCAATTCAAAGGTCATTTAATGTAAATCAATGCTTTGTCAGTCTCTCCAAATAGTAAATTATTGGCCTCAGGTTCAAATGATGGATAAGTTAAACTTTGGGATATTAATTAAGCAAAATTAATAGCATCTTTTACTTAACATGATAATTAAATTACATGTCTGAGTTTTAATCCAATTGATAAAGTATTAGCATCAGGAGGAGGTGATCGATGTGTCAGGTATTGGGACTTAGATAGATTAACTTAAGTACCTTAATCTTTTTGTAAATTAGATTTCATCTACAAGAACAGATACAACTCCAATTTAATGCATATTATTTGAATAAAATGGAAAAGTATTATATTCTGCAGCCAACGATTCTCTTAAAGTTTGGGATGTTGAACGTGATTGTTAACTTTTGGATAATGTGGAAAGTAGTTGGAGAGGAGTTCTAGATTTGATTGTGATTTAAGAAAGAGATCAATTATTGGGATTATCATCAAATGTACAAACTGGATTTAGTCTTCATGGAGTCAATCTTAAAACTATTGGCTAAGAAGCCAAAAATTATGATGTTAAATCAAGTGGAGGTGCTCCTATTAAAAAAGGAATAACACCAGATAAAAGATCAGATATCTAAACAGCAAATTAAAAGCCATCAGACTCAGAAATTAAAGTTAAAAGCAAGCCATCATTACAATTGTAAGCTTAAAACATATTGAATCAGGATTATCAATATGATCTTTAAAAATCTAATGAATAATTGAAAGAGACTTAGCTATAATAATAATAACCGTATTATTAATAATAATAAATAATGGGGTCACCATATCTTAATAAAAATGGATACCAATAGTAATAGTAATATCCTTAGTAAAAAATGCTATATTAATATTAAAATTAATAATCATAGTAATTTTAGCAATAAAATTTTTTGCAATATTAATAATAACCAAATCAACTTTATTAACTATAATAATAATAAAATTAGTTATATCTACAATATAACCTATTATCATAATAACCATAACAATTATTCTAAAATCATGATGCTAATCAATATTTTTCAAATCAAGTACACACGCCCTAACACTATCCATAAAAGACAATTTAACAGACTCAAATTGCTAAAGCCATACTTGAAAACATGAATGAGGAGGATTATCCTACAGATGAATCGTAGATTTTGAGTTAAAGTGATTTAACTCTGTCTTAATTTATGATGGGGGATTAAAATAAAGAAAAATTTAAATAAATTGATCTTATCAATGAGATTGTAAAAGATCATAATAAAGTTTAATCAGTCTTGACTAAAAGGATGAATTACATGAAACCTATTGTTTATTGGTGGACTAACAATAATCTTAAATCTGCTTTGAATGCTATCAATCAGTATATCTTTTATTTTATATTAGAGTAATCGAACCATCCATATTGCATGATGCTTTATCTCTTTATTCCAAATCTTCCAAATTTGGATAATTCCCTATTGATTCTCTTCCTATGTTATTGGAGAAAGCAAAAATTCTAATTGAATCAAAGTACGCATCTCATGTAAAGAGTGGACTTGATTTTACTTGGACTACTCTAAATTAATTTAGAGATGTAATTATTATATTTTATCAAAGGAAATCCTTAATATTAAACTGTTCAATTAATTATCAAAGACAGATTTAACAAGAGAAGAAAGAATTTAATAATATGATAGAGTAATTGAACAATTTAAAATTATTGCTTAAGCACCAAAATTACAAAATTTAATTGATAGAAACTAAGAAGATCTCTCAAATTTAGCTAAGTAATTTTAAATTGATTTAGTTGGATTTCTCAAAAAGTTGAATTAGAATTAAATGCAAAATTGAATAATAAATTATTGTTAATATATAATATTTTAGTCGTTAATGAATATCTCAAAATCAAAAAATTCTGTTCCATTGGACAAGCCTATAAAAAGTCCTTAGCCAGACATATTATCCATGCCTATGTAAGCTTTAAGAATTGACATGCTCCTGAACTCTAAAAATAAATTAGAAACTCAATAATCAACCAAAGCATTAGATATAATAAAATAAATTCAGCAAAGCAGCTCCGGAAATTTAAGACTTGACACATCAATAAACAAATCTAAAGAGCATCTCTTAAAAAAAACTCCAACCAAAACTACCGCTAGTTTTCATTATGATAAAACCCCTGAACATTCCTAAAACAATTAATCATGCAGTCCCCATACTCATGCTTGTTTAAAACCTCAGCTTAAATAATCAGAAGATTAATTAAATTTCAAAAATGTACCTTCATAGCAACCCAATATTTTAAAAGAACAATACGAAAAAATTGATTAGCTAAACGCATTATTGAAAGAGCTAAAATAATAATTAACACAATAAGAACAAGAAAATCAAAAATTATAAGAAGTTAACATTCGCTTAAATTAAGATAATCAAAAATTATATTCTTAAACTGAAGAAATGTTAAAGGATCTTGAATATATGAGAACTAATATTGAATAGTAAAATAAAGAATTTAATAATTTAAAATAGTAAAATCATTAATTGTTAGATGATATGAAACTCTTAAGAAGTGAAAGAAATAAAGTTATTAATAATAATAATGAATAAGTTATAAATTAAAAAAATAAAGAAATTTCTTAACTATAAAATGAATTAAATGAGTATAAATAACTTTTATAAGCTAAAGACTCATCTATTTAACATTTAAAATAATAATTTGAAAATTTAGAATAATAATAATATGATATTATGAATAAGTTGGAATAAAAATAGGATGAATTATCAACTTTAAAGTAATAATAATAATTAAATGTACTAAATTAAAAAAAGAGTAATTAATTTGAGTCACTATCAAGAAGATCTTCTGTACCAAATGAAGTATTATTTTATCAAGCACAATAAGAGTAACTTCAAAAAGAGAAAGACATATGTGAATAAAAATTAGTTGAAATGTAAACAATTATAAATTAGTTTTTATTAAAAGAAAAGAAAGTAAATCAACCATCTAATAATTCATTTGTTTAATAAAAAGAATTTAATAAAATGAAATAAATAATTTAAATCTAAAAAAGATAAATTGAATCATAATAGAAAACTATCATGAATTAACATTATGAAATCTAAAATTTATAAACTTTATTATATTGTTCTACTGAGTAAGACAGTTAATTTAATAAAAAAACATTTGATTCAGGTGACGCAGAAAAATTTTCACTTTAATCTGCTGACATGTAAACAGAATTATAATATATATAGATATCATATCTAAGATAAAGAGAATGACAGAAAGGGTTTTGGCGAATATTAGGGAGCTCATCACATTACTTTTTAATAATAACAAGGATCTAAATTTATTATGGAAGATACTTTTAGAAATTTAGATAATGAATTAAACTCACACAATACTTTAACAGATTGATTTTTATTTTCTAAATTTTTCGATAACTATAATATTACTTTTTATATTTGATAAAATTAAAAAAATAAAAGACAAAAGTAGTTGTATCAAAGCATTTTCCAACTATTTTTTCCTTGTAAAGTTGATTATAAGTTTTAAAATGAATTTGACTAATCCTATTCCTTTGTTATTCCTTAAGATATATTAAAATTATTATACCTGGAGAAGAATTTCTAATTTTGTGTCTTACACTAGTAACATTAATTGCCTTGCTTTTAGTCTCATCTTAATTAAAAATATTCAATACTTTTAATAGCGGGTGAAAAAGTTCTTGTATTTACTGTTGAAGGTTTTTGGACTAATGTAAAGCTTGTTGAAGAGACATTATCTTTGGTTTTCCTTTAAAATATTTAAAATATCTTACACATATTTTTATGAATGGGTCTTATCTGTCAATTCTTATAAAACTCTGATTGGTTAATTCTTAACAAATTATGCCTAACTTTTAGTTAAATTTTAAGGTGATATTAATTTCTTAAATTAATTGAGATCTGTAACTATGCCTTTAGCTTATTACTTTTAATCAGTTTCAATAGCAGAATTACTATTATTATTAAAGCTGTTATTTTATGCTTAATTAGCACTTTAATTTAAGTATTTATCCTAAAATGAATTATTAGGTTTTTATTAGTTCCTCAATGTAGATGCTGCTTATCTTCTACATTAAACATTTCTTAAGTATATTTGAGAACTAGATTATGGCAAAGGGGGTCCTTATTAAGATTATTTTTTATAAGGATCTTTTGAAAAGGGTGACAAACTCTCTTTTTTTTAAATGCAATTAGATTGTAATGAATCCTTAATTTCAGTACTATTAGGCCTAAGTTTAGATTCTATTGTTTCTTAATTTCTTTTTAAAGATGAACTTCTATCTTATAAATTTGTTTAATTTATCATAGCAGGTTAATTAATCAAACATAATTCAGATTTTTAAATATTTTATTTTTAAATGCAAGATTAAGATTAGGATTGGTTTATTTAGGATTTTTGCTAAAGTTGCTAAAATTTTTAATAACTAGACTATAATTAAGAAATGGATTAAGTGAGGGTTTTTTGAATTTCTGAATGCTTAGTGGAATTCATTGTTTACATTTATATTGGACTAATTAATTAATCTAATTTACTTTTTTATTAGATTGTATTATTTGTTTAATTTGTTAATTATGTTGCTTGTGATAATTATGATTATTTGTCAAAATTTAAAAGTGTTTCAGTTTATTTATTAAAATAATTTAATGATTATTACACTTAGTTTTTAAACTCCTAGAAATTAGTTAAGATGGAATTCTAATTATCTTTTTATTTTAAAGAGCTTGGTCTATTTTAATTTTAAGCTTCTACAGGTAATTTTTTTTCTTCATTTTATTACAAAGAATTGCTTCTAATTGCAGTAGAATTGTTTTATAAGACCTAATTATTATTATTTAAAATATTTCCAAATAAAGGTTATTATTCTTATATTTGATTATCGGAAATCTTAACAAAATTATTTATCAATTAATTTTTTTTATTATTCTGCTCAATCCTTATTTATTATTATTATTATTATTATTATTATTATTATTATTATTATTATTATTATTATTATTATTATTATTATTATTATTATTATTATTATTATTATTATTATTATTATTATTATTATTATTATTATTATTATTATTGTTATTATTATTGTTATTATTATTGTTATTGTTATGGTGTTCTACTTTTTACTGCACAATGCATTAATAAGTTTTAAAATGAAGGGTTGCTCGTTAAATTAGCAGAAGTTATATTAGACTTATTTGTAATGTCATTTTAATCTTGCTATTACGATTTACTACTCTCAGATCTCACTTGAGTTACATTTTAATTACTTTTTGGAAAGCTAGTTTAGATTAAGGGTTATTTAGGTAATTAGATTTAGGATTGGTTTTTTTATGCTCCCTAATTAAATTCTAATTTTACTTTTAAAATAGAAGTTTCAGAATCACGTTTTAAATTAACTTCAGAAGCAGGCACAAAATCAGGAGAACCTGAATAAACAAGAGTTGCTAATTAAATATTTTCTTTATTGATTTGATCTTTCCATTTTAACTTTTAATTAGTAAGTTTTCCCAAGACTCCCTTTTATGTATTTATTAAACTTTAATACCTATTTAGCTTATAAATTAGTATATATTTCATCAACAGGACCATTGTGAGAATTCAAAAAAGTATTTCTAATAATCAATTCCTCTTAAACATGCTAAGGATTTTATTCATCTGATGTGAGTTCATTCCATGAAGCAGTTCTTTTAGTTCCTAATTTATTCATTTTATTTTCTAATGCATTTAGTTAATAAAAAAAGGATGCTCGAATTTCAAGATCTGGACGTCTAGAATTCAAAAATTCTAATGTTTTATATAATGTCCACGAATATCTAAAAAATTTAAATAATTTAACGAACTTTTTCATAAAATAAGCAGCAAGCACACAACATGCTCTACTCTATCCTCTAACTGAATGTACCAAACAACTCTCCCCTTATTGAAAACATTCTTCAATGAATGTAAATATTTTATTAACATTTTCACCTCGTTCATCAAATAATACCTAAAAATCAAAATTTTAATTGATACTTCATTATCTTATTCTAACCAATTAAAATTTAAATACTTTGTACCCATCTAAGTCCATTTATTTTGTACTTCTGTGCCAGCACAATTAATTATATGAGTTACTTTATTTGTTATTATAAATTCTCGATCCTTTTTTAAATTCTATACTAAACCTATGATGCAAATTCATCTCCTATAAATAATCCATCTTTAATTTTTATTGCTCCTACTATTTGGTTCTAAGCCATAATAAATAATTTAAATTATTATTATTTATGTTAACTCTTCTTAAGCGATCGATATAATTTATTCCTCGCTTCTCCTATCATCCCAATGTTATAGATCATTATGAGAACCCAAGAAATGTAGGATCACTTGACAAAAGCAATCCAAAAGTTGGAACAGGATTGGTTGGTGCACCAGCATGTGGAGATGTCATGAAACTACAAATCTAAGTAGGAGAAGATGGTAAAACCATTGAATAAGCTGTCTTTAAAGTAATTTATAAAACTATATTAATTATTAGACATTTGGTTGTGGTTCAGCAATAGCTTCTAGTTCTTATGCTACAGAAATTCTTAAAGGGATGACATTGGAGGATGCTTACAATATCAAGAATTCAGATATTGCAAGTTATTTAAAGTTACCTCCTGTGAAATTACATTGTAGTATGCTTGCAGAAGATGCAATCAAGAAAGCAATAGAAGATCTTTAATCCAAGAATAATTAAGCAACAGAAAAATAAGAAAAATGATACATTAAGTGATAAGATTTTAATAAAGTGATTCATTAATCGCTATTCCTATAAAATTTTAATTATAATTGTTCTATTGTTCTTTTTCCTAAAATAAAATAAGAAGATGATTCTTCTTAAATTCCTTTGCTTTGTAATTAAAAATATACAGTGATCATTTTTATTAAATTACATATTAACATTTTGTATTCTTTGGATTGTTCAATTTTAGATGATTTCTAATTTGTTAAAAAATGAGAGAGATTTATTTTTAAAAATTATCCTTCATGGTAATAAACCTTTCCCATTTCTTTAAATAGTATTACTTTTTTTAATATTCAACTATATACTAAGCTTTATAATTGGCTTTATTAAAGATTAATATGATTAATTAAATAAATGATCTTTATATTATATTTTTCAAAATTATTAAATAAATGAATTTTTTTAGTATTTTGCAAGCAAAGTATAAGAATACTAAATTGATATTAATATTTTTAATATTATATGGTCCAATAAATTTATGAGATTATAGAAAATTGAATTTAAAAATTTTAGTACANATACTTCATTATCTTATTCTAACCAATTAAAATTTAAATACTTTGTACCCATCTAAGTCCATTTATTTTGTACTTCTGTGCCAGCACAATTAATTATATGAGTTACTTTATTTGTTATTATAAATTCTCGATCCTTTTTTAAATTCTATACTAAACCTATGATGCAAATTCATCTCCTATAAATAATCCATCTTTAATTTTTATTGCTCCTACTATTTGGTTCTAAGCCATAATAAATAATTTAAATTATTATTATTTATGTTAACTCTTCTTAAGCGATCGATATAATTTATTCCTCGCTTCTCCTATCATCCCAATGTTATAGATCATTATGAGAACCCAAGAAATGTAGGATCACTTGACAAAAGCAATCCAAAAGTTGGAACAGGATTGGTTGGTGCACCAGCATGTGGAGATGTCATGAAACTACAAATCTAAGTAGGAGAAGATGGTAAAACCATTGAATAAGCTGTCTTTAAAGTAATTTATAAAACTATATTAATTATTAGACATTTGGTTGTGGTTCAGCAATAGCTTCTAGTTCTTATGCTACAGAAATTCTTAAAGGGATGACATTGGAGGATGCTTACAATATCAAGAATTCAGATATTGCAAGTTATTTAAAGTTACCTCCTGTGAAATTACATTGTAGTATGCTTGCAGAAGATGCAATCAAGAAAGCAATAGAAGATCTTTAATCCAAGAATAATTAAGCAACAGAAAAATAAGAAAAATGATACATTAAGTGATAAGATTTTAATAAAGTGATTCATTAATCGCTATTCCTATAAAATTTTAATTATAATTGTTCTATTGTTCTTTTTCCTAAAATAAAATAAGAAGATGATTCTTCTTAAATTCCTTTGCTTTGTAATTAAAAATATACAGTGATCATTTTTATTAAATTACATATTAACATTTTGTATTCTTTGGATTGTTCAATTTTAGATGATTTCTAATTTGTTAAAAAATGAGAGAGATTTATTTTTAAAAATTATCCTTCATGGTAATAAACCTTTCCCATTTCTTTAAATAGTATTACTTTTTTTAATATTCAACTATATACTAAGCTTTATAATTGGCTTTATTAAAGATTAATATGATTAATTAAATAAATGATCTTTATATTATATTTTTCAAAATTATTAAATAAATGAATTTTTTTAGTATTTTGCAAGCAAAGTATAAGAATACTAAATTGATATTAATATTTTTAATATTATATGGTCCAATAAATTTATGAGATTATAGAAAATTGAATTTAAAAATTTTAGTACATTACAGTCTCTAAAATAAATTAGAATTTCTTAAAAAATTAACAAATAAAAGGATTATATTCGTATAAGTAAGAAGGTGTATGTTATTTTGTTAAATTAAATATATATACTTTGTTAATATTAAAATTTTAAAGAATATTGGTAAATAATTAAAAATAAATGATTGTAAAATTTCACAAGAAAACAGAGAGAATAAAAGGATTGTCTTTTCACCCAAAGTAACCTTGGCTACTTATTGGATTGCATTCTGGAACAATTCAAATGATAGACTATAGATTGGGAAGAGTAAAAATATGCTTAATATTTACAAACAGACAATAGAAGAATTTGTCGAGCATGAAGGTCCTGTGAGATCAGTTTAGTTTCATCAATCTTTGTGTTTGTTTGTATCAGGCTCAGATGATTTTACTGTAAGAGTTTGGAATTACAAAACTAAAAAATGTTAATTTGTATTGCGTGGCCATTTAGATTTTGTAAGATGTGTACATTTTCACCCAGAATTACCTTGGTGTGTATCAGCTTCAGATGATTAAACATCTAGAATTTGGAATTATTAATCAAGACAAATGATAGCCATAGTAACAGGACATAGTCATTATGTAATGCATTGTGAATTTCATCCAACAAAAGACTTTTTAATTACATGTTCTTTAGATTAGACTATTAGATTATGGTCTATTTCATAATTAAAGAAAAGATTTACATAAAAGAATGTAAAATAATCAAATTAAATCTTAAGGTTTAAAATGAATAACAAAATGAATTAGAATTAATATAAATTTTAGAAGGACATAATCAAGGTGTGAATTGGTGTACATTCAGTTCAACTGAAAATTTAATATTGTCAGCATCAGATGATAAAAAAGTAAAAGTTTGGAAATTTTATGAATCAAGAGGCTTTGAAATAGATTCATATACAGGTCATAATGTAATTTCTAAATTATTATAATTATAGAATAATGTGAGTAGTGTAAAGTTTCATCCATATGGAGATTATTTTATATCTAATTCAGAAGATAACACAATAAGACTTTGGGATATGAAAAAGAAAATAGAGATTGACTGTTTTACAAATTATGAATTAGATAGATTTTGGGTAAGTGCTGTTCATTAGAATAATAATTATTTTGCAGGTGGAAGTGATTCTGCTTTATATATATTTACATTATTTAAAAATAGACCTGCAATTGATTTGGTGGATAATAAGAATTTATTTGTTGGGAGCAAGAAATAAATTAAATTAATAGATTTATAAACTAATTAAGAGAAAGATATAAAGAATTTTTAAGAAATTTCAAATTCAATATCAGATAATCTATTATAAGATAATATTGAGTTTATCTAACAAAATATATATGAAACTAGTAAAAACTAACTTTTAGTAAGGTTGAAACAAAACTCTCATAATAAATAAAGAGGGATTTGTAAATATGTGATCTTTGAATGTTAAACTAATATAAGTCAAATCTTTTTGGGTAAGACTGCTATTTTTATTGGAAAATCTAAGATCTTAAAATCTAAAGAAAATTCTGAACTAGAAATCTATAATTTTGAAGTAGATTCACATACAGCTCTAGGCTATAAAGCAGATAAACTCTTTTCTTATTAAGGAGGCAAAGCCATCTTTTATACTGATTAAATGATTAATGTATTAGATCCAGTTGCTAATTAAGTAATACATTAAATTCCTTGTTCAATAGAATTTAATAATATGAAAAAAGTGTTAACTAATGATACATATGTTATGATTCAAACTAAAAAAGCTATTTATCTATTTACAAAATCATTTTAAAGGGTAACTTAGATTTCAGAATCAATAAATATTAAATCAGTATTATTTTTAAGTCGAACATAAAATATAATCATATATTCAACCAAAGTTCATATAAAATATTTATTAATAAATGGAGATTCTGGTATATTTGGAACTATGGAAACTGTACCATATCTTATATAGTTACAATAACCAATAGATAAATAGAGTGAAAAATATAAATTATATTACATGAATAATGTTGGTAAATTATTAAACATGAGTCTTGATTGCTCTGAAATGTTATTTAAATAAGCTTTAATTGATAAAAATATTAAATATATATAGAACTTCTTAAAAACACGTAAGATATTTGGTGATTTGATTACATCATATTTATATTAAAAAGGATTTTCAATGCTTGCTTATTAATTAGTTGATGACAAAAGAGCTAAATTTTAATTAGCATTGTCTTCAAATAATTTAGAACTCTCTTATAGAACATGCGATGACTTAAAGAATCCTATATGTTATCAATAACTTTCTGAAGAAGCCATGAGATAAGGCAATCATAATATAGTAGAAGTTTGTTAATAGAAATTGAGATCCTCTGATTAATTGTCTTTTCTATATACAATCACAGGTTAAAATGAAAAGTTGAATGTTTTAAGTACTATAGCTAAAGAATAAAATGAATATAATACTAGATTCTAAACAATATTACATCTTGGTAATATTAATCAAAGAATTTAATTTTTATAAGATTGCAAATTAAATCATATTGCCAATCTAAGTAAATTAGTCCATGGATTAGATTATGATAAAAAATTTATTATCTCTGAAGATTTAGAATGGTTATAATCTTTGTAACCAGAAACTTTATAACCTCCTATTTCAATTATAAGATCTAAATAACATCCTC